ATCATTTATGCTTCCGGTTCTAGTTACGTATTGCTAAAAGGTCTTAAGTTGTGGGTAGGGGAACAGGGCGAACACAGCGAACCCACCCAGCTGGGGGGTTTTGGGGGGCACTGTAGGCCCCCTGAGATTTGAAATTGACCAATTTCATGTGCATTTGAGGCCATATGTCTGAGTACAGTTCTGCATTAAGGAAAAGTATTAGAATTTTCTAAATATTTGTCTTGAGAATGTGACTTGATTACTGCCAGCATACAGCAAGGGCCGTGATTGGCTGTATCGCTGGCAGAGCTGACTGGGTGAGTTGGTGATCAGGCCACATACATTTGGAAAATATGCGTCGGACCCCAGGACCTTCCCCCCCCCTGGATCCTGCTTAATGGGACGGCGTTGATGGCTCGTCTCTTGCTCTTCTGTGTTAGATCACATAGACCAGGTGCGCTGAGGTGTTGAACAACAACACATGATGTAGGAGTTGGTTCACAGGTACTGTTATGAGGGATCTCTTGTGGTGCAGTAACTCGTCTGCAGATGTATTGTTACATATGTCTATGTTATTACATAATGTTAAGATGTGTGCTGTATATTCATTTTGTATCAGTCACCGTTGCAAGAGCAGTTTTCTATGAGGGGAAGAAGCTATATGAGATGTATGTCCTTTGTAATACTTAGTTTATTTTTTGCATTTTATGTGAATTATATTGGGTCTACGTAATTTCTAATATTTTGTAATCATATAATATTATGAACTTATATAATGAGGTTTTAAGTTAATATTCTAATTGTGAAAGATGTACTTTTGTTGACATTCAGGAGCTCTCTCTCTCTCTCTCTCTCTCCGGGGTAAATTCAGGGTGTGGATGTGAGTCCAGGAAAGTGACTATAATCTTATATCATCAATCGTGTATCCTATATGTTGGTATTAATTTACTCACCAGTATTAAGGGTGAATATTAGAAGATAGTTTTGTGAATGTAAGGAGTACAGACGCACTGCATGATCCTGCAGGTATTAGGCAGCTACCAAACAGGGAGGTACTACCGCCTGGGAAGATATTGGAAGCATAATGTGTTGTCTGTGGTAGATCTTGCTGCCACATGGCATCACGAAAATTGTGACCAAGTCCCAGGTTGCTGATCTGACTTTCTGCCTCATTTACACACAATTGCAGAGTCTCAATTGTTTCTCTTACTATTGAAAACACAACATAGCCCATACAGTATATTGTTCCTCACTTTTTTTTTTTTTTCATTTTGTATTTCTTTGTGGTTCTTTATTATTATTATTATTATTATTATTATTATTATTATTATTATTATTATTATTATTATTATTATTATTATTATTATTACATTTTCGCACCCCCAGGCCCCGATGTGGGTCAGTGACCTGTGCCTGGGTGGGATAATTCCGTAAAAAATTATTTTAAGTATGTAGTGTGTGTGTGTGTGTGTTTAGTGAGTATGCATCTATAGTCTTGCGTGTACATGATAACGCCAGTCTGTTTCTTTGTGAACATGAGTATGTGTTCCGTGTGTGTACATAGTATACATAAATGTCTAAAAAAAATTGTACATGCGTACATGACTGAACGAGTTTAAGTGTGCGTGGGTATTTTTATGGTATTTGTGCAGTACAGTAGTGCGTGCGGTACATCCTAGTTTCATGTGTATGTATTAATTGTCAATTGTTGTGTGTATGTTTATTGTACATAGTATTTCTGTGTATATTATGTGCTTGTTGATATACGTATCCCGACCCCATAGGGAGGTGAAAGAGAGAACGAGAGAGAGAGAGAGAGAGACAATACCGTGAAGGCAGGAAGCGAAGGACCTGAGACCAGCCAGGAGGTGGTCCCTGGCGCTGACGCTTCCGGGGCAGGTATCCAGATCTGATGGGTTAACTCTCACAGCCGGCGACACCCGACTCAAGAGCCGCTGGACCGACCGTAGCAATGTCGTTGGATCGCTTGCCGCCTTCACCAGCACGAAGTTCACCTCCTGAAATAACAGGGAATATTATATACTTTTGATTCTCCCTTACTCCATATTCTATATCATACCATTTACTTCATCACTCCCTCACCATCCTCTCCCTCACACCACCACTGTACTCCCTCACCACACCCATACATACAGTCATCAGGGGTGTTCCGAAGAGCCACCCCTTGCCCCCTTGAACTATACCGCCGCCTCGAGGTATCTTACCGGTCAGAACTTGGACACGATGTATTAGAGTTTGTTGGTGATTGATATTACAATTAGATGTTTTAATTTGTGCTTTACGCTTACAGATTGTAGTGTGTTGGGTAAAATTTAAGGCGGGTTAAAAGTATCATATAATGACGATGTAGATTTATAATATTAAAAAAAAAATGGAACTTATGGGAAGAGATTTGTAGTTTGGGCGAAATTAGTTTTGAACCAGATAATAATGTATAATTTTGAAGGAGTTGAAGCCATGGTCAGGTTAGATTAGGTTAGGTTTATACTGACGAAATGTACTAGAACCGTGAGGAAAAGCTTGTTCATTTATATAGGTATTGCTTTGTGCATCCCCCCATTTAAGCAAATGCTGCTTAAGACCCTAACAGTCATGTAAACATTCTGTTAGGAGATGTAACACCCTGGTCACTGTCACAAATACTAAAAAATCACCAGGTTAATAGATATTTTTTTCCCTCTATCGCCACCCAACTTCCCTGTCACGCTCTCCCCCTTCCCGGCATCCTCCAGGCCCCCAGTGTCGCGTGTTGTGTCCGCCTCGAACTACGAGGATTAACTGCTGATTCTGAGGTAAATTACCCCAATCATCCAGGTACTCCTCCCACCTGTGGTTCCTCTCGTGTCGTACCCAGAGATACGTCACACTGGCATCGTCACACTCAAACGTCGACATGGATCATACAGAAGCCAAACACGAAGTGAATTCACCATTCATTTTATTTTGTTTTTAAATTATCACCTTAGTGCAGTTGTTCATGATATATAATTCCTTTGGAGCGTCAAATAAAGGGTTCAGAGTTAGTGACGTATTGTATTTTTAAGATGTTTTATGTTTATGCGCGGAAAGGCGATGTTTTCAGTGCACCTGTTGGACTAAAACCCCATGCCAGGCCAACTTTGAACCCCTGAACTGATATACAATGATTGGGGTGTGTATTGAGTCTCTAACACAAAGTTGTTTTTATAAAGCATATTTTTCCAACACACTGTAAGTGTTGGTGTGTGTGTTTAGATTTAGGGGTTCAAACGTTGAATGACTCTGCGAACACGTGCAGACGCACCTAACCTAGAACGCACGCGCGTACGCACACACGCCCGCACGCACACACGCCCGCACGCACACACAGGTTTTTAAAACTTTATCGTACCAGTTTTATTTCACCGATGTGACTCTGTAGATCATTTATATTATCTCTCTGCATCCCATAACTTTACACTTCTATACAAATGTTACCCTCTCATACTATGGGATAAGGAACTCCCTTCCTTCCTTCCTTCCTTCCTACGGTTCCAGAGACCAGTGACCTCCACCCTGGGGTCCTCTCGCGTGCTTCACCGTCTAATAGAAACACAACAGTAACACGAACGTACCTTCCCCGTCTCTTGTCATCTTCGTTATATCGTATTGTGAATAACTTGCTCAGAAATAAATCACGCATCTGTCTTTATGGCTCCTCGTATATATGTTGCTATAAATAACATAAAACTTGTGTTTTGATTTTATAATTATTTCTATAAGTTTGATTAAAAAAACTTCCATTTTTTATGCTGAACTTGGTTTTAGAATTGTGCATTATTTTTCCTCAAAATATTTTTTTTCTTATCATCTTGAAGGAAGAAGAGAGACGCACATGTCAGTACCAAAGTACTGTGGCGAAGGTATACAGTAGATCAGTGAATAATTTAGAATGGGAGAGTGTACTGTACTGGATTACCTGAAAGTTATACACCATTACACTCTGTGAACTTGTTGGAAATCCTTGGCAGTTGGAGCACAGAAGTACATGATAGAACAAATTCTAATTGAACATAGACAAGCCTTCAGGTGGATGAAATTTTTTTTTTATCATATTCGCCACTTATCAGCTTACTAGCCGTTTGGGCGGTTTATCCAGTGTTAGTACAGGAGGAAGCGGGACCGGGAAACCTGTGGTGTTTGGTAGTGAGGGTCACACTGGATAACACCCCTCTCACGTGTGTCCAGGACAAGGCTCGAACCCCTGACATATTGGTGGGAGGTATGCACGTTACTGTATAGAAAGAAGGTTCAGGGTGTAACTGATTTAGGTAAATACTTTGAATCGACAAGTCAAGCTTTCATGGTATAATATTCTCCTGACTATTCATAACCTTCTCCTGACTATTCATAACCTTCATGAAAGAATGTGGGCATTTGGGTTATAAACTTTCGCATTAAACGCGATTTAAACTGACTCGTGAGGCAGAGGAATTCCTTCAAGTCTATTTTGCACACGCTCTCAACCTTGTTACAACGGCAGCTTGTTTGGCTAACCAACACTCAACCCTGGCATTAACTGAGAACATGATGACCAAGACGACGACTGGAGGAAGTCTTCGCTTTCGCAGTTACTGATGTGTCAAGGAGCACCTCTCACATATGTGTGTGTGTGTGTGTGTGTGTGTGTGTGTCTCAGCACTCAGAGCTGACCTACCTCAGCTATCCTCCATCCCTGGATAGAGTAGCTACTGCCATCAAACAGATAAAAAATAACAAAGCCTCAGGGCCTGATATAATCCCAGCCGAGGTGTATAAAGAGGAGGACCTCTTTTTAGCAAGCCGTCTCCGCTCTTTCCTGGAGAATATATGGGAAAAGAAGGTAATCCCCCAAGCTCGTAAAGACGCCTCCATTGTCAATATTTATAAGAACAAGGGAGACCGATCAAACTGCTGCTGTCTGTAGCTGGCAAGATTATCGTCTGAGTCCTCCTACACAGACTTCCTCTTGAGGTGGAAGACTTCCTCCCAGAATCTCAATGTGGCTTTAGACCATCACATGGCACCACTGATAATAATCTTTGCTGCCCGTCAGATACAGGATAACTGCAGAGAACAGCTTCGTGACCTGTACATGGCCTTCATCGACCTTACCAAGGCCTTCGACTCGGTAAACAGGGAAGTCTTCTGGCGGACCCTCAGCCGTTTTGGCTGCCCACAAAATTCATCGCCATTGTAGGGCAACTTCACGACGGCATTAACGGCAGTGTCCTGTACAATGGCACCCAGTCAGAGTTCTCCCCAATCCTAACGGGGGTAAAACAAAGATGTTTAGTGGCACTAATCTTCTTTTCCATTTTCTTGGCTGCCTTCCCTACTCGCACCAGTGCCAATTTAGCCGGTGGAGTGGACATCCAGTACCGGATGAAGGGGCTTTTCAACATATGATGACTCCAGGCTGGAACAAAGGTGTCGCCAGCTTCCATTACTGAACTTCAGTATGCAGACGACCTCACCCTCGTTGCTCACACTGAACTCGACCTACAGAAGATCCTTAACATCTACGCAGATGTGTATGCACATTTCGGCTTTGAGGTGAATGTACGTACCCTTATTCAACCACACCACCGTTCGTCCAGCTTAACAGTACTACCCTCTGTAATGTTACCCACATTCAATATTTCGGTTTCCACCTGTCCACCACCATGTACATAGATGAAGAGAGTCAACATCGGATCATATTTGCATCTCAAGCCTTTGGCAGACACCATACCCATGTCTTCAGCTGTAGGGAGCTGAAATTATCTACAAAATTGCACGTATATCGAGCAGAAGTCCTCCTCACCCTGCTATAAGGCAGCGAGACATGGGCCACATACAGGAGGCACCTTAAGGCACCTGAAAACTTTCACCAACGTAGTCTACGTTCCATCCTCCGAGTTTGCTGGGAAGACAAGAGAACAAACGCCGGTGTTCTTGGTGACACCAACTGTAGGAGCATCGAGGCTACCATTATCCATGAACAACTAAGCTGGACTGGCCATATTACCCGCATGAACGACAGTTGACTGCCAAAGCAGCTACTTTACAGTCACCTAACGAATGGTAAATGTAACTTTGGTGGGCAACGGAAAAGGTATACGGATATTCTTAAGACAAACCTGAAAAAGTGCCAAATTGATCCCCTCACCTGGGGCGATCACTCCACACCGTAACGCTTGGAGAAGCACCACACGAGAAGGTGTCAATACTTTCGAATTAGCCCGACTGCATACCGAGGCAGACAAGCGCCAGTGCCGGAAAGACGCTGCCGTCGCCCCTCCCCCACTAGATGTAGCCCTCCACACGTGCAACATCTGTGGATGACCCTGCCGGTCCCGTATCGACCTCTTTAGTCACCTTAGAGCTCACCAGCGAAGGTGACACTTTTAATAACTCATGTCATTGTATCGTAGCTGGAAAATCGTCATACTCGATTCCGATTGACAGCAAAAGTAGTAGTTGTGGTGTTAAACTAAATAAGGATAATTGACTAATAGGAAAATTATGAATTATAACCATTTAAGCTTTTAAAAACCAATTAACATTTTTGACAAATATTTTGTTTTTGTTTTTATTGCTTTAACTTAATGTAAATAAATTCGTGTTTGGTAAATAATCATATTCATTTGAAACTTAATTTACCACCATAACCAAGTTATACCCAAGATAGATTTGCTAGAGTTAGGTTAGGTCGTCCGCGAATTGCTGTTCGACACTATAAGTGCATCCAGCCCATGCGAGCACTTACTGATTGCTATAAGAACAGCCAGTCCCAACTATTGTAAAAAGTATCAACTCGCTGTGTGTTCACTCCCAGCCAATCTTATACTTTTTACTGTTACTACAGTATGTTGGCATTGCCTGCTATGTGACCTCCCCACCTAGTTATTATATATCATATATGTATCACTTATGTTACTTGTATATTATTTGTCAATTAAGTGACCCATTCCCCTATTACGTAACTGTAAATTTGCAGCCTTTTGGATGCCATAGACTTTCAATAAACCGTTAATTAATATTAGTAGTAGTAGTAGTAGTACACACTCACCCTGTGTACGTTCTCCTCGGTGACAGAGCGCTGAGGTGTGGTACGGACCATGCATACACATATGCCCGTCAGCGGGATGGTCCGCGGATTGCCCATGAACAGTCGCATGCGGCTGGTCTCTGCTGGTTCTGGTTCATCTGCGGCATACAAAACCTTAACTACTTTATAAATTAAGACATTGCGTGAATGAAGAGAGTGAGTATGTAATTTGGTAAGGAAAAAGGCCTACCAGTTCAGCAAGCTACCAGTTGCATTGACTATGACTCAGTGACTGACATAGTCCGGATATGATCTAAGCACATCCTGTGAAGGGGTAAAGACACGACTCTGGTACAACCATATCACAATTCCCTGGACTTTTGATGTGACAGGAGAAAGGAAGACACGCAAACTCTCGGAGGTGTGACTGATGAAACCCACCAACTTGTGTGTGTGTGTGTGTGTGTGTGTGTGTGTGAAAGAGAAATACTCACTGGAGGTTATGGCTCAGGGTAATGGTTAATGTAAACTTGTTGTGTCAGTGTGTCAGAGCGTGAAGGGCCAGGTACTATCAAGTGTCACTTAGAATGAGTAACCCCCCTACTCTAAGGTGCATGGAGAAGAATGTAAGACCAGATACTATGCGGAGAAGCTAAGACAGTGACCCTCAGATGACTGGGAAGAAAAGTCAACGAGTCATCAGTTCTCAGGTGTGACGGAGGTGACAGGTAGAAGGTGAGGAGGTAGACAGGCGCAAGGAGGATAGTCACAGTGAAAAGAGACCTGGTAAGAGTGAAGGAGGATATGATAATAGCAGCAGAGGACCCGCTAAGATGGAGGGAAGTGGATCAGAGATTTATACCACACCACGAAAGGGAAACACAAGAAAAACTGTCAAGTGTGATTAAGCAAATTAACCTCATTTATCTTGGTTGTATAAAAAATTATAACTCAACATGCTCTAGAAAATAGCCTGAGAACCAGAGTGTATCAGGAATTAAAATACATCTGCTGTCAGAAGTGATATAAATATTCGTCCCTCCCATGGGCGAGGCAACACAGAGGACGACCTACCATCGACGGTATGCTCGGTGGCGGTAGAGTTGCGGCGGGATTGGTGGAGTTCCGTCGGCCCGCTGACTGTGGAGCTGCGACGAGAGGGTCCACTGGACGGCTGCGACAGTAGTGGTGATGATGCCAGCTGGCAACACAAAAAGGTTATTTTCATAGCAATTTATCGGTACCTTACATGCTGTAATGTATGTATTGTCTAATATTTGGCTCCACAGGTGTTGACGGTCTGTCAAGGACGGTATGGGTAAACCAGAATGTACCAAGTTTTCGGTTCACAAGGAGACTACTTGGTCGCTATTATTTCCCAAACTGTAATGTTAAAAAATCAATTACAGCTGGATAAACTGGGAGGGCCTCAGGGGTGAATCAGCAACTTTTAATATTGGGGCGAGTACTGATTTACTGATTCCACCTGACATCCACATCCTACAAATTGTTTAAGTATAGTGTACATACACATTAGAAATGTCTCAACAAGACACCTGTTACACGGTACATGTTGGCAGTAATGGCCGAGAAACTATGACCAGCGAATACTTCGGTTATTACAAGGAGAGCGCGGTGATCTCTTCTTGCTTTGTTTCATGGATAGGATATGAACAAAAAGATCACCTAGTCACTTAGGCTCGAATTCAGAACGCTGGTTTGGAACCGCATGAAGGTTTAAACCAAGGATCGAGCGAAGATTGAAGATTGTTGGTATTCAGAACGCTGGCTTGAGTCAACACAAAGATTCAAACCGGGTTGAGATCGGATTTGTCGATCCTCGCATAAATCCAGCCTGTAGGTAGGTTTAGCGGTCGATCCGTCATTCAAGATAGCAAGTCAATATGAATTTTCAGGAGGCGGGCGCTTTTTGGCGATGTCGTCAAATTGGAAATTTTGTAGAAAGAAGACTGATGGTAGATAGGCAGAATCCTATCAATTTTAATGATGACGCACAATTCAGACAACGATATAGGTTCAACAAGTGAATTTCCTTGATATTTTCCGTGATATGGAGCATCTACTGACAGACCTGTTTGGCCATGGTTCATCTTACCTCCCATTCATCAGCTAATGATTGCTTTGAGATTCTTCGCAACGAATAGTTTCCGTGTAAGAAAGATTCTGGTTACTGAATGAGTTATGGTAATGCATCACAACACTCTCATGTTTACTGTAGGGTCCATGAAGATCAAGCGGGTAACTGTAAAGAATGATGGCGCTTCTTTAGTTTGAGTGTTTTTGTTTATGAAAACTATTTTGATGTATTTTCAATATGATTGAATCAATGCTGAGTGCATTTTGATTTTAATGTAATAATAAAGTTCTTTCTTAACATTAGTAATCAGAAATGTGGGGTTAAAAAGAACAGAAACCTAACCTAACCTAAACGAACCTAGCCAGGTTACTACGCCCTGCATTGATCCATCTTGTTTTGGTTATGAATATTGACACCTGTCCCGGATTATATCTACAATTTGTATGCAATTGTTCTTCCTCTATGAATTTCTTTATCATATAATAATACAGCCACGTTGTAAGACAGTATCATAATTCATTATAATTTTATCATAATTTGATTGTAATTACAGTAACAAAAGTAACTTATGATGTGCAAGGAGTGTTTGAATCCTTGATCGGAATTGAAGAAAATGCAACAGATTACCCAATCCTTGGTTCAAGCCGATGTTCTGAATACGGGTAATCCACTGCAGAAAATCTCGGATAGAGGAATCCCAATTCGCATGCCTGAGTCGAGCTCAAGTCCCAGGTTCAAACCACCGTTCAGAATTCGGGCCTTAGACTCTTAGAGCATAACTCTTGCTAAATCAGTGAGAATGAAAGATTTCTGATGAACTAAATAATGACACGGTTCCCCGTTATGACCAACCTACACCTGGAAAATTCATATTTTAAGGTGGATTATACTTACATGGGCCCCGTGGTCGTCCTCCAGCTATACGTACTATGGTCTCCTGGGTCGTCCTGCACTGTATTCTCAAAGCTGACAAAGCCTCCAAGTCGTTCTCTGCAATCTCCTCTAAGCTACCCATGTCTACCTTGTCCACTGGGGTTGTTCTCCAAAGTCTTTCAAGCCAACCATACTGTACTTACCTTGGCCTCCAAGTCATCCTCTTCCTGTATGGCATTGTCGTCTAGGTCATTAGACTCCTGATAGAACCAAATCATGTTGTTGTACTGGCCAGGACTGAGGAACTTGCTGATCTCCTCCAGCTGCGGGAACACACAAGAGGTCACGTCACAACACGAATCTGCCGCATCTCCCCTCACCATGTAAACACATCCAAAGGAATCCCAAGCCTAATAAGTCAGCATAAAAGTGGGTCCCGTAAGCCTGACAGCTTCTTAGGGGCAGTGTAGATACAACACACGGAAGACCAAATCTGTTATGGTAAACGAAGAGGCGGTGTCTCTTCACTTCTCTACGTGTAAAATATATATATAAAATTGATGGATGGTCGCCATACTTTTGTGACAGATATGAGAGAGAGAGAGAGAGACCATGAATGACTGTGATAATTGGTAAAGTGATGAGGAAGACATGGTGGATAGTGACGAGTGGGAAAGATGAGACATAATGAAGGATAAAACAAAATTAGAATCTCGAGAGAATTGAATTGAATTGAAACAGTTTATTTAGCCAGAAAAACACAGATACAGAGTGGATAATAATAACAATATTAACATGGCTGAGCCAGTTGAGAACCTGAGCTCTTTTGCACCTGATATATACTAAACATTTATCTCACGGAAGTATAATGTAACATTTAGTAACATCTGAATAGTACAATAGCATGGTGGTAATAAGAACATCTCATAATGTTACCACGGTTATCACTTCAATATTTATTTATTTTATTTATAAATGTTATTTATTTATTATTATTATTTATTTTTTATTATAAGTATTATACATGAAATACAGTGGAATTTCAAAACATAAATATAAAGGGGAAGCAGTAGGCTACATCATGGGTTGTACAGCATTAAGGTTGAACAAGAGGACAGAGCTGTCAGGATTATGTCTAGTTGGCAGCAAATATATTTATTGCAATGGTAATTACTTATCTATTACATGTAGAGATACGAGAGACATTCTAAGGGGGGTGAGAGATATTCTAAGGAGCAAGAGAGGTGAGAGACATTCTAAGGAACAAGAGGTGAGACATTCTAGGAGCAAAGGTGAGAGACATTCTAGGAGCAAGAGGTGAGACATTCTAAGGAGCAGGAGATGAGGAGACATTCTAAAGCAGCAAGAGTGAAGACATTCTAAAAAAGACAAGGGCGAGAGACATTCTAAGAGACAAGAGAGTGAGATATTCTGAAGCAAGAGGTGAGGAGACATTCTAGAGAGAGAGGTGAGACATTCTAAGGAACAAGAGGTGAGACATTCTAAGAGGAGCAAGAGGTGAGAGACATTCTGGAACAAGAGGTGAGAGATATTCTAAGGAGCAGAGAGAGTGAGAACATTCTACGAAGACAAGAGAGGCGAGAGACATTCTAAGGAGCAAGAGAGGTGAGACATTCTAAGGAGCAAGAGAGGTGAGAGACATTCTAACAGCAAGAGAGGCGAGAGACATTCTAAGAACAAGAGAGGTGAGAGACATTCTAGAACAAGAGAGGTAGAGACATTCTAAGCAGCAAAGAGGCAGAGACATTCTAAGGAACAAGAGAGGTGAGAGACATTCTAAGGAGCAAGAGAGGGAGAGACATTCTAAGGAACAAGAGGTGAGAGATATTCTAAGGAGCAAGAGGTGAGAGACATTCTAAGGACAAGAGAGGCGAGAGACATTCTAGGAGCAAGAGGTGAGAGACATTCTAAGCAGCAGGAGGCGAGAGACATTCTAAGACAAGAGGAGTAGAGACATTCTGGGAGCAAGAGACATTCTAAGGAGCAAGAGAGGTGAGAGACATTCTAAGCAGCAAGAGGCGAGAGACATTCTAAGGGCAAGAGAGATAGAGACATTCTAAGCAAGAGGCGAGACATTCTAAGGAGCAGAGAGGTAGAGACATTCTAAGGGCAGGTGAGAGACATTCTAGGGCAAGAGAGGGAGAGACATTCTA